ATTTGAACCAAAATCTATCCTGATGCTTTGGTGCATCAGCGACAATGCGCTGCACTGTCATTGGTGCCATAGTCTGGGCAAAACAGTAAACCTTAGGCCTGTTCTACTCCCCTTAAATGTCATGGTCACTGCTCAAAGAAGAGGAGGGTAGTTCTTCTGACCAACAGCATTATCAGAGACTATCTGGTTATGATCATGACCCTCGCTGCCAGTGGAGTCTTGCTATGCAAATTTGCTACTACTTTTGGCACGAAGCAGAATTTCAAGAGTATTTCTTGTTGCCTTGGAACATCCTGAAGTTGTGTATTTTCTCATTCCTTTACTGAAATAGTCCAAGTGAGACACTTTTCGGAAATTCATGTCAGATGTGAACAAGGAAAAGCCATTCTTTTACCTGCTGCGGGGCTACAGCTCTGGGCCTCTCGAGACTCGGTGGAATGTCGTAAAGCTGCTGGATTAGATTCTTCTCTGCTTCAGTTTGGAACATTGAGAATTTCCTTGCTGGTCCAGGACTGCCATACATCTAGGGGAAAATATATTTGTAAAGTATGTCATTTCACAGGTCTTTCATGTAGAATATTCTAAGATTTTTTTAGCAATAGTGTTCTTTGTGCATGCCAACTGGGCATTCAATTAAGAAGAGCAAGTCTAAGGGCAGGAGTGAGTCACAGCTGAGCCCTTACGCTGGGTCTATATCATACATTTCCAGCAGGGGGCAATGGAGACTAAAACTTTACAGAGTCCAGTTGTAGCAATTAGAAATAATCCTGCACTTTCCAAGTCTGACTGACTTAGTTTCACAATTATTTATTCAAATATATGTCTTGTTTCGGGATGCTGCCAGAGTCATATTTATTGAGCAAAAACCTGAAAGAACTGTGGGTGCTGGAAATTAGAAACAAAAACAGAAATTGCTGGAAAAGCTCAGCAGGTCTGGCAATATCTGTGGAGACAAATCAGAATGAACATTTCGGGTCCAGTGACTTTTCTTCAGAACTTTCTGAAGAATGGTCACTGGACCCGAAATGTCAACTCTTTTGTTCTCTCCACATGCTGCCAGACTTGCTGAGTTTTCCCAACAATTTCTGTTTTTGTTTCTGATTTATTCAGCATCCCCAATTGTTCTACATAATAACTTATTGACACAGAGCTGACAATTCTCTGGGAGGTGTGGAGGTCCAGGGTGTTGACCTTGTAATAATGGGACCATCTATGTAACCCAGCAATGCACATGATGTTGCATTATGCTTTATTCAGCTGAGGTCCTCTTCTACCTGTGTCCTAACTAAGGCTCATTCACCCATCACCCTGGTGCTCGCTGACCTACACTTACTCCTGATTTTAAAATTCTCATCAAGGTTTTCAAATTTCGCCGAGCATCTCTGCCTGGTACGTAAAGGCCAGCCTAACCTCCCAGTAACCCCCCATTTCAACTCCCACCTCCACCCCCACCAACTCCTCTTCCAACATGTCCGTCCTCGGCCACTTCCAGTGTTGCAGTGACTCACAACGCAAATTTGAGGAACAACACTTTATCTTCTGCCTGGGCACCCTACAGCCTGGAGGACTCAATGTTCAGTTCTCCAATTTCAAATAACTTTCCCACCCATCCCCCAGCTCCCTTTCCAGCCCCACCTCCTCCCTTCCATTCCACCTTCTGACCCTCCCTTCCAGCCTCCAACCAGATTCATCCCTCCCATCCACCAACCAGGTCGTACCTACTACCACTGCCCACCTATCACCACCATTCTACCTCCACCCCTTCCCCCCCACCTTCTTTATCTGCAGCTCATCCTACCCTCACATCCAGTCATGATGAGGGGTAATACTCAAAACGTTGACTTCTCCTTTCCTGCAAACACTGCCTGGCTTGCTGTGTTCTTCCAGCCTCTTGTTTGAAATCTTGGATTCCAACATCTACAATTTTTTTTGTCCCTTTCAAATTTCTCCATGGCCACACCCTTTGCTATTTGCCTAACCTCCTCCAGTGCCAAAACCCTCCTAGATATCTGTGTTTGTCTAATTCTGACCCCTTGAACATCCTCGATACTCCAAGCCCTGGAATTTCTCCTCCCACTCCCAGACTTCTTTGTCTTTTCTTCTAAGAGAATCCTTAAAATCTGACCGAAGTTGTTACCAGCTTCCGCATATGTATCTTTATGTGGCTAAGAACTGAGTTTCCCCAATAGTGCCCCATGCAGTACCTTGGGCTGTTTTATTACATTAAAGGTGCTACATAAATGTAAATTGTTGCTTTGCATATAGTTGACTATCCTTGTTCAATGGCAGCCTAAAGAATGTTTTTTTTCTAACTGACGGAATCAGAAATGGGGAAGTTTCCATTGTGTCCAAGTGAATGACCCCCACACTACCCTGACAAGGCAGTGAACCAGACCTTTAGTGAGGGGTCCTGACTCAGGAACAGGCCACACCTAGTTTAATGTGGTATTATTTTGAGAGCTGTTACAGGACATACAGCTTATAGGATTGCTACTGGTTGTGGATAAGCTAATGGTGTTACATCTGTGATCACCATAGATACATAGGCCATCAGTCTGTTATATTAATGTTGGTTATACAGGGAATTCTCAGCATAATCGCAGTGGGTTACTATTAGTTATTGATGAGGATCCTCTCGCTTCTGATTACCCTCCTGAACAAACATCTCTCTCTCATCCTCAGTTGTCCACTTTCCTTCCCTCGGTTACCCCTCTCCTAAACCACATTTACCCCTTGCCCACACCGTCAGTCACCTGGCCTCTCCCTTACCCTCAATTGCTCCTCTGCCTGTCCTTGGCTGCCCCTATCCCCCTTCTGCCACTTATTCCTCGTGACTGCCCTCACTCTCTGTTGCCAGTTACACCCATCCTAAGCGATCTCTCCTGATTGCCATCAGCTTGCTAGCCTCTCCCCAACTTGATTGCCTCAGTTTCCCTAGCATTGTCCTGAATTACTCTTTTCCAATCTCACAGTTTGCAACCCCTCCCCTACCTACCACACACCAGCAACACCCACCTCCACCCCCCACCCCCACCCCCGGACCACCATCACCATCCCCTCCACCACTACCGTCCCCTCCTCCATATTGGCCCAAACTTTATAATAAGACTTTTTTCACTGGAATGTGGGTGGTTGAGACGTAACTTTATAGAGGTTTAGAAATTCATGAGGGGTATAGATAGGGTTAATGATAGGTGTCTTTTCCCTAGGATGGGGGATTTCAAGACTAGGGCACATCCTTTTTAAGGTGAGAGGAGAGAGATTTAAAATAGACATGAGGGGCAAAATTTTTACACAGAGGGTGGTTTGTGTGTGGAATAAACTTCTTGAGGAAGTGGTGGATGCAGGTATAATTACAATGTTTAAAAGACACTTAGATAATTAAATGAATAGGAAAGGCTTGGAGGGACATGGGCCAGGAGCAGGCAGCTGGGATTAGTCTAGTTTGGGATTGTATTTGGCATGGACTGGTTGGACCAAAGGGTCTGTTTCTATGCTGTCTGACTCTATTAACATTTGAGATACTGAACCCCTGACTCTCTGAGTGCTGGAACATAGAAACATAGAAGGTAGGAGCAAGGGGAGGCCATTTGGCCCTTCGAGCCTGCTCCACCATTCATCATGATCATGGCTGATCGTCCAACTCAATAGCCTAAGGCTGCTTTCTCCCCATAACTTTTGATCCCATTCGCCTCAAGTGCTATATCTAGTCATCTCTTGAATACATTCACTGTTTTGGCATCAACTACTTCTTGTTCTAATCAATTCCACAAGCTCACCACTCTTTGGATGAAGAAATGTCTCCTCATCTCTGTCAAAAATGGTCTACCCCAAATCTTGACCCCTGGTTCTGGATATACCTACCATTGGGAACATCCTCCCTGCAATCTACCTTGTCTTGCCCGTGTAGAATTTTTTAAGTCGCTATGAGACCCCCCCCCCCCCCCCCACCTCATTCGTCTGAACTCCAGCGAAAACAATCCCAACCTAGTCAATCTCTCCTCATATGTCAGTCCTGCCATCCCTGGAATCAGCCTGGTAAACCTTCACTGCACTCCCACGAGAGCAAGAGCATCCTTCCCCAGAAAGGATGGTGTGTGGAATAAGCAAATTTTGTGAATAAAATTGAGAACCTCTGTCCTCTGGCCAGCACAGATATTGCTGCCAGTAACCAACTGAAAACAAACCCTGAAAACTGTTGCATTCAAAAATGTGCATAAATTAATCTGTGCGTGAGGGTGAGCTCTCAGATCTAAGAGCTGTTCAGAAGTATTGAGATGCAGATTCAAACAGTAATTGGCAAAGATTTCCATAAATTTAAATCTGTTTCTTAAACGAAGCTTTATCAATTGTGTCTTTGTCTTTGCGATTCAGCTCTGTTTTGCTTTAGTCTGACTTTGTGAAATACCAATGAATGTTAAGGCCCCAAAACTTTAACCATTTGGACAGTTTGACCCTGATCTGTGCTGAGTTAGCCGTACAAAGTGCCATCGGCCTGGGAGTGTAAAAATCAGGCTGTGTGGTTCAATATCCAGTGGTCCTGCCAGATGTTGTATACATTCGAGTGAATTTAAGGTTGGTATCCACTGTTATGCAGCAGTTTCAAATTCCTGGTAAAAGCTCACACATAAAGAATGACCATTTGAGTAAGGGATCAGGGATCAGCAAATACTTCCAAATGCAGCAAAAATGAACAACAAAAATGAACACCTTCAGAAGCAACTGAAGATCACCATGATGACCGGGGCGGCACGGTGGCACAGTGGTTAGCACTGCTGCCTCACAGCACCAGGGACCCGGGTTCGATTCCAGCCTCAGGCAACTGTCTGTGTGGAGTTTGCACATTCTCCTTGTGTCTGCATAGGTTTCCTCCGGGTGCTCCTGTTTCCTCCCACAGTCCAAAGACGTGTAGGCTAGGTGGATTGGCCATGCTAAATTGCCCATAGTGTTCAGGGATCTGTAGATGAGGTGGATTATAGGGGTATGAGTCTGGGTGGGATGCTCTGAGGGTCAGTGTGGGCATGTTGGGCTGAAGGGCCTGTTGCCCACACTGTAGGGATTCTATGATGATTCTATGATTTGTGCAACCTCCAGTTTATAACCTGAAGTCACAGAATGCAGACTCTGGGTCTATACTCGAGGGGATGAGGGGGAATCTAATTGAAACTTACAGAATACTGAAAGGCCTGGATAGAGTGGACATTGGGAAGGTGTTTCCATTGGCAGGAGAGAGTAGGACCCGGGGGCGTCAGCCTTAGAGTAAAGGGAATATGCTTTAAAACGGAGATGAGGTGAAACATGTTCAGCCAGAGAGTGATGAATCTGTGGAATTCATTGCCACAAAAGGCTGTGGAGGCCAGGTCATTGAGTATATTTAAAACAGAGATAGGTTCTTGATTGTTATGGGGCTCAAAGGTTACGGGGAGAAAGTGGGAGAGTGGGGCTGAGAAATTTATCAGCCATGATTGAATGGCAGAGCAGACTCAATGGGCCAAATGGCCTAATTTCTGCTCCTATGTTGTATGGTTTAATGGTCTTATAATGCACAGTCTGCATATCTAAGGATGTCATCAGAAACACAATCAGAATACATGGAAAAAGAATAAAGTTATGAATGACTTTGATCGAATGGACACAGAAAGACATTCCCTCTTGTGGGGAACAGCATCACTGGAGGTCAGCAATATAAAATAGAAAGAAATTTAATCGGGAATTCAGAAGAAGCCTCGTCACCTAAACAGTGAGAATGTGGAACTTGCTAACAGAGGAAATGGTTAAGACAAATAGTACAGATGTATTTAAGGGGAAGCCAGGCAAACAAGTGAGGGAATAAAAACCAAAAGAACTGCGGATGCTGTAAAGCAGAAACAAAAACAGAAATTGCTGGAAAAGCTCAGCAGGTCTGGCAGCATCTGTGGAGAGAAATCAGAGTTAACATTTCGGGTCCAGTGACCCGCAGAACAAGTGAGAGAGAAGTGAATAGAGAGTTACAATGATAGATTTAGATGAGAAAAGATGGGAGGAGGCTCAAGTGGACCATAAAACGCTGGTATGCACTGTTTGGGATAAATGTTTTTGTGCTGTGTATCCAATGTCTGTTGATGGTTAGATTTCTTTGCATTACCTGACTGTGCTGGATTCCAGGAACATGGGACGGTGGAATATCATATGCATCAGCGTAAGGTCCTGACATTGACTTAAGGAGTGGCGCCTGACCCATTCTGGGAAGAGTAGATGCCTACAGATAAAACAGAAATAACATTGTTGCTAGTTAATACAGGTACTGCTCATACAGTCTAAGTGGAGATCTGTGATTTGTCACAGTGAGGTCTGTACTTCTTTCAGTGTCACGACAACAAAAATGAAACCTTTCACAAACACTCAGATACCATCATAATCGGTCTCCCATCCTCTTCTAATATTTTCCTCACTCCACACAGTTTAACATCAAATGTCATTATTGTATAAGAAAATTATACCACCCTACCCAAAATGTCACATTTTATAAGCAAGGGCTGAGGATAAAGTGAATGAATAAAAGTCTGTACCCAGACAATGAGGCATCTCAGGATCCGATAGTCCACTTCAGAAGCACAGTTAGGCTCACTAATATTATTCAATTCTGGAATTACTGAGCTTCATAATGTCCCAGAGCACTATGGGGGAGGGTAGGAATCTCATCTTTTCTAAATAACAGAGACTAGATGTCCCAGATTAGAATTCAGAGACGGGCTGTACTCCAGTGTTGGTTGTCTTCATCACATCAAGGTCACAATAAAAGCATGAACCTGACCAGTGCTCAGAACCTTCTTATGGAAAATACGCTTTGCGTAAAAGTAGTGTCAGATCTGGCAAACGCTGCCCCATTACTGGAAAAAAAACTACCCTGTGGTAGTTGCACTGCAACAGCCTCCCCATGTTAAAAGACTGCACACACACACAAGCAGATACACACACACAGAGACATAGACACACACCAGACAGACCATTATGAGTCATATGAGAAAGCTGACTGGACAGTGACTCAATCATAGCACTAAACCTTCAGCAGGATACCCTGCCTGAAGCAGAGAGAATGGCAGGGAAATAAAACACACAAATAAAAACAAGCTTTTTGCTTTATTTTTAAATTTTAAAAAAATCTTTTACTGAGCCCCTTTCACAATCTTGGGACAACCCAAACCACTGCCCTAACAATTCTGAAATGTAGTCATTATAGTGATGTAGGAGGAGTGGGAGCCAAATTGTGTTTAGCAAGTTCCAAAGAGCATGTGATAATGAACAAGTGATATTTATAAGTGATGTTTGCTGAGGGATAAGTATCCTGAGGGCCAGGATAATGCCCCCTCCTCTTCTCTGCAGGATCATTTACAGGTCAGAGTGGGGTTTAATATCTCATTAGAAAGACAACACCCAGGACAATGTGCATTTCACTGGAGTATCAGCCTAGATTGTGCACTCGAAAGGGAGTGCACAATATTTTGACTTAGAAACAGGGGTTCTACTACAATAACCACCACTAACACTTCTATTCATAATGTTTGTATGTTTTCTCTGCATTGTTCAGCCAAATGGCTGGGACAAATGGGGATGTTGAAGGCAGCCATAGGATCCCTACAGTGTGGAAGCAGGCCATTCAACCCCTGGAGTGTACACTGAAGATCATCCCAACTAGATGTATCAGCCCCCCATCCCTATAACGCTGCATTTCCCATGCTTAATCTACCTAGTCTGCACATCCCTGGACACTATGGGCAATTTAGCATAGCCAATCCACCTAACCTACACATCTTTGGACAGTGGGAAGAAACCAGAGGAAACCCATGGAGACACGGGGAGAATGTGCAAACTCCACACAGACAGTCGCCTGAGGGTGGAATTGAACCCGGGTCCCTGATGCTGTGAGGCAGCAGTGCTAACCACTGACCACCATGCAGTCTAAGGTGGCTCACAACCAATCACACTGACTGTGTGACTCTGCCTTCTTGGAGCTAACCTCTTCACAAATCACTGCAGACCCAGACCCATACATGGTTCACCAGCACTACACATATTCCCAGAGTATCCATTGCATGAAGTCCTCTTGGGGTTGCCATTCACCCGATGCAATACCATGAGTAATCAGGAGAAAAGTCATCTGTTATTAATAAATAACGTGCATTCATTTTTCATTTCCATTGGACATTTTTGTTCATTAATGTCAGAAAAATTCTCTGGGGAAAATAATTCCTGTCTGACTGACTTGTCAGGAATCAACCAATCAGGAAACACCAAGTCTGTTTGCTTTCTTATTGGTTGGATAGGCAGTACACTGAGAGAACGGCCATATTGGCTGACCAATGGCAGAACATTTGGGGCAGTGGGGAGCAGTTGGAGGTCATATGATGAAAGTTCCAGGTATACATCCAAGCAGAAGTGACAACACACCACCCCCTCCTAATTTCCCACTCCCATACTCTTGTCCACCAGTCACTAGGTACATAAATTCTAACAATGTACAACTCAATAACTGGTAACTATCAGTCAAACAGCCCTGTTTCTCCCAACATTTTTACAACAGTGTTCAAAACAAATGACAGCGGATATTTGCTCACTTGTGATAGGGTTCAGGAATGAAATCTCAATATCCTGAAGCCTATAGAACATTCCTGAAGAGTTGGCAATACTGACCTGTATCCTACTATTTGTTTTTCTTTGTGTAATAATACATTGTCGATGCTAATTTACTGTTTAAATTTACAATAAATTATAGGGCAATACAGCAAAGAGCCCAATTCAGAGTCTGATTACGACAGTCACTGCCTTCATACTGTTCCACGCTGGTGAACTTATACAAAGATTCTTAGTTGCTACGGAGACTAGTTAGACTCAATGAATATTCTGGGCTTTGCTGCAAATTAGTCTCTATTAGAGGGGGACAAGGGGGCCTGAGCCAGTGCAGTGTGTATTTAAACAAGGCAGTATTGTGTTCCCTGCAGGGTGACTGAGACCTCTGGCAGAGGTCTAGCTCCTGTGCTTTGTGGGTCCTCTGAGCCACTTGCATTCACAGTCACTTTTTTTTGTTTGCTGCTTTGAATAGCAGTGTTTTAGAGAACAGGGTGGAAGAATGCTGGTGGAAACATGCCTTTGGTCTATGAGAACTGTCCGCCAGATAGGCTGGGAAAGTCAGAAGCAGAATGACTTTGATCTCCTAGCTAAAGTGAGTCAGACCATCTGCTGGCTCAGCTCTCTCTCTCTCTCTCCACACCTTCATTCTTTATTCTCACCACACCTTAGAAGTAGGCGTTAGTATGCTTGCCTTTGTTGGTCATTGCATTGAGTATAGGAGTTGGGATGTCATGTTATGGCTGTGCAGGACATTGATTAGGCCACTTTTGGAAAAACGCTTTTAATTCTGGTCTCTTACTGTAGAAAAGATGTTGTTAAGCCTGAAAGGATTCAGAAAAGATTTACAAGGATGTTGCTGGGGTTGAAGTGTTTGAGTTATAGGGAGAGGCTGAATAGGCTGGAGCTATTTTCCCTGGAGTTCCTGAGGCTGACGTGTGACCTTATAAAAGTTTATAAAATCATGAGGGGCATGGATAGGGTGAATAGCCAAAGTCTTTTCTCCAGCATAAGAAAGTCCAAAACTAGAGGGCATAGATTTAAGGTGAGGGGGAAAGATTTAAAAGGGACCTAAGGGGCAACTTTTTCACACAGAGGGTGCTGTGTGTATGGAATGAGCTGCCAGAGGAAATGGTACAATTGCAACATTTAAAAGGCATCTGGATGGGTATATGAATAGGAAGGGATTGGAGGATATGGGCCAAATGCTGGCAAATGGCATTAGATTAGGATATCTGGTCAGCACGGACGAGTTGGGCCGAAGGGTCTGTTTCCATTCTGTACAATTCTATGACTCCATGATCTTTATTCATGGACAGTCATCACTGTTAAGGCCAGCATTTGTTATCCAAACCTAACTGCCCTTGAACTGAGAGGTTTGTTGGGCCATTTCAGAGGGCAGTTAAGAATTAACCACATTGCTGTGAGTCAAGTCACATGAAGGTCAGACCAGGTAATGACAGCAGATTTCTTTCCCAAAAGGACATTAGTGACCCAGATGGGGTTTTCCTGGCAACGAATGGTTGTTACATGATTGCCATTAGGTTAGATTTTTTAAATTCAGATTTTATTGAATTTAAATTTTAAACTCAGATCTCTCCGGCTTGATGCTCTGAATTACCACTCTTGTGACATTACCACAACTTGACCTCTCTTTCCTATCCTCCCCGCTTCTATACAAGAAGAAACTACATCAATGTAGACAATCAGAGCTACACATCATGCTCAGAGCAAGTGAAACCACTCTATAACCTCAAATTGTCAAGGATAGGTTTCACTGCTAAACCAAAACCAAACAGCCCTGCTGGGACCAGACCTGGAGATTCTGTTCTGTATTCTGTTTCAAGCAGTGCATTTTGCACCACCACTCATATAATGACCTTAGAGGGGATGCACGTTCACCCCAATGATTCCAGGCCTTGAAGGGTTAAAATACAGCAAGTCACAGCAAGTTCTTTATCTTCCCCTGAGTAAAGAAGGACTTATTGATCGAGCTAATTAAAATGGTAAGAGCCACAAAAAAACAGAAGTTGCTGGAAAAGCTCAGCAGGTCTGGCAGCATCAGCGAAGAAAAAAATCCAGAGTTAACGTTTCGGGTCTGGTGACCCTTCCTCAGAAAAGAGGTTTTTAAAATGGTAAAAGGATTTGATAGAGTCTCTGTACCTGCCCTCTTTACCCCGGATGAAGAAGTCAAGTACAAAGAAGACATAATTTTAAAATTAGATCCATGCTGTCTAGGTGTGAAATCACACAAAATGTAGAAATCTTTCCAAAAACCAATGGATGATGAGTCAACTTGGCGTTTTGAAATTTACTGCAGTTTTAAGCTAGTTATCACTCAGAGCATTCTGTAATTGAATCATCAAATCTATTTTAAGCACTTTCTTTACCAAAGAACCTTTAACTTAGGGAAGGCTAATTACAGAACTTTCAGTTTAATCTGAGAGCCAATCAAGGGCTCTACCTGAATTGTATGTGGGGCTTGGAGGTTATATATAAGAACATGTACAAGTTAGCTCCAGAAATTCCAATCTTCTTTTGAGAGCAACACTTGGAGTTTTATTTCTTTGGGATATCTACCAATATTCTTTGAGACATCCTGTTTCCCGTCCCCCCGCCTAAAAATATAACTTG